ATTTGTATCGTTCTAGCTTATGTATCTAAAGTGATTTCCTGCTTAGACTCTTCTGAAGTTTGTGGTCCGGACAACCTACCTGTTATAATCATGCAGAAGTGTTCTCCAGGTCTGTCATTTAAACTTTCAAAACTATTTAACAAGTGCTTATCAGAGTCTTATTTTCCAGCCTGCTGGAAAACAGCATCTGTTATCCCTATTTTCAAAAATTCTGGAGAGCGATCTGACTCGTCCAACTAAGGTCCCATTAGTCTTCTTACTATCATAAGTAAGGTTTTTAAGTCATTAATTAATCTCTCATCTTAATCATAATGACTTACTTTCTGATCATCAATATGGATTTTGATCTTCTCTTTCTACTGATAATTTGTTAATTGTAATAACTGATAGGTTTTATCGTGCATTAGATAGATGTAGAGAGATTAACGTTATCACTCTCAACATTCCTAAAGCCATTGATAAAGTTTGGCATGCATGTCTTCCCCATAAGCTTTTTTCTTACAGTTTATTAAGTAACATCATTAAGATTATTTAATCCTTCTTTACCAATCATAGTATAAAAGTTTTCCTCAATGGAAAGCACTCTTCTTTATTTCCTGTAACTTCAGGGTTTCCTCAAGGTTCTATTTTTGACTCTATACTTTTTTTAATTAACATTAATGATCTCCCAAAAATTCTGCCATCTAACGTGGTATTGTTGACTGATAATACTACCATTCATTTTATTATTCTTGGGAAAAAGCTAATACTCCCTTATTGCTTGAAGGGGGCATTTGAGCTTGAAAAACACTTTACTTCTGCTACAGCATGGGGCTCTCAGCGGCTGGTGAACTCAGATAAAACTCAATTTTTTTTCAGCTTATTGTTATTGCAATAATCTGGATTTTCCTATATTTATGATGGTAATGTACTTTATGAGTCATCTACCCTTCTAGGTTTAACTCTTATTTTCAATCTTTCTTGGAAACCTTATATCAAATCCATCGCAAAATTAGCATCTGCTAATGTCCAATCTTTCTTAGAAACCTTATATCAAATCCATCTGCAAAATTAGCACCTGTTTATTGTGCTCAACACTTTCTTACTCTAGATTCTATTCTTTATCTCTATAAATCTCAAATCCGTCCTTGTATGGAATACTGTTGCCATATTTGTAGCAGATCTTTGAATAATTCCCTTTTTCTTTTAGACAATATGCTAAAATGTATTGTAAATATATATAGACCTGCTCTTTCAGCCAACCTTCAATTATTGTCACATCGTCATAATATTGCTTCTCTTTCTCTTTTCTATAAATGCTATAATGGGCTCAAAAGAATTACGTCTCTTGTGCCATCTTCTAAAATTCATTTTTGTGTTACTCGTCATTTAACTAAGTCTCATGATTTTACTTTGACTGTTCTGAAGTGCTCCAAAAATTCTTATTCGTCTAGTTTTTTTCTTCGAACATCAGTTCTTTGGAATTCGATCTTTTCATATTGTTTTGCTGTTTCATATAATTTGCAATCTTTTCTCGTTGTTTGTTAATCATTATCTTGCCCTACAAATTTAATCTTTTCTCTTCCAGTAACTTTCACATCTAATAGTGGTTGCTTGCAGCCTTGTTAGAAGTAAATATTTTGAAAAAAAAAAAACTGCTTTTTTAAAAGAATAAATCCACAAATTTTCAAAGAAAAAACATAAGTCCATATCGTGTAATATATTTAATTAGATTGAAGTGTGGGAGTACCGCAAGTACATTGAAACTAATATTTAACATTATAGTAACCTGTTGTTTTTTTTAAAGAACATAGTTGTAAAATCCGTGTTTGTTGTAATTATAGCTTTTTTTATTAGGATTTGACAAATCTTAAAAATGGTATACATTCAATTTAAACTTCAAGTTGATAAGACCGTAAGGACTTCTTGGAGCACATTAAAAGAAAAAAATTTGTTGTACCGTTGCTTTAGTAATGCTACTAAACACTCGGTGTAGTTAAGGCACTTTTAAAATATTATAGCGTCTGTATGATATTTTGTTGACTACGACATATTTCTGTTAAATGGTCTGGTCTGTGAATTATGAAAAGACGAAAAATATTAAAATTATAAGTTTTGCGGTATCATAAAATATAAATGTTTGTAGCGAAAATGCCTATTCAATCAAAACCAAAAACCATGTAAAAAAATTTACTGATTTTGAAGAGAAAAGGTTTCTTTTGAAAACTTTGTTTATATAGCATAAAATACAATAATTCTTGTATGTGTAATAATGCTAAAACAAAGTTATATAATAAATAAATATATATATATATATATATATATATATATTTATATATATATATATATATTTAATCCAGCACGCCCCTGTTTTTGTCAAATTAAAAAATTGCATCAAAAAGAGTCTAATAGATTTAAAATCACCTATTTTATCAGATGCAGAGTTTGAAATGTTGTCAAATATCCTTTCAGTTTTACTTCATATTAAGTTTACAAGATGCATCTTTGTTATCTGCAGATGTTACTATTCAATTTATGATGAAATCAATAACTGGCCATCTATGTTCAAAAGTTATGAATTGAAAGCAGATTTAAAATTACGTGTTCTTGAAAGACAAACAGAAGTTTAAGTGTTTTGTAATATTTATATAATGCAGACTCCAATGAAAATCCAAGTGATGATGAAACCGATAGAAATTATGAATTATTTCCGATCATTACCAAAGCTGCAAAAGTTATTGTTTTACAGATACAACGTCTGGGTGTAGCCAACTTGCATTATGAAGCCAGGGTGTAAAGGGTCAAACGCGTTTTTCCCAAATGCTCATAAATTTAAAGTTCCCAATTTAAAGATGAAAAAATCCTATTCTCCAAATAAAGTTTCTAAATTAAAGTTTAATAATAATTCTAAAAATAATTTAAAATTAATTATTATTTAAAACTATTAGAAAAATAACATAAAAAAATTCTAATTCATTAATTGCGTAAAACATGAAATCAAATTGTAATTATTGGTATATCTATTTTCAAAAAATTTCTTTTATTGACACAATTTACTACATGATGATGTAAGGGTTCGTCCGTAAAGTACATCAAGCAGAATTTAAATAATAATTAGAAGTAGAAGATCATTGGCTCATTGGAGATTGCTATTTTACTATATTACATTGAAAAAGAAATATATATTCAAAATAATAATCTTGAAATGAAAGCGGTGACAATATATAAAGATTAAAAATAAATCAAATTAATTATTCTCAATAATAATTAATATACACTGATTATTTTATAATAAAAAAAGATATCATTCCTAATATATGTTCGGAAATTGATTCTTAGTTTGCTGTGTCGTCGTGAAACAACAGCTAATTTTGTGTTGATTTCATATTCATCTTTAATGATACAGATGGTATTTTATTTTATTTTTGGCGCTGATCAATCAATGTTACAGCGCTGAAGTAGAGTAGAAAAAAAAAAGAACACCATAAAAGGACCCTATGCTTTCCCAGAACACTTTTTAATCTCAGGGGAGGGGGGGGGGTGATTAAGAAATACTTCAATTTGACAAATTCCCAATTTTGTTAAAATGCTGTATCAAATTTATTCCTGGTTAACACACTAGAAGCTGTACCTGTAGCAACAACATCTACTGGCTTAATCTGTACCAGAATTCGTTCAAGGATGGGAGATAATTCGCTTAACAATCTATGTTTTCTGAGGTCTTATATCAACAACCAACAGCAGAAAAAGTAGAACCTTAAAAATTTATATTTTCTTCCTTTTCTTATGATTAATATATAGCTAACATTATACTGAATTTTGATTTTTTTTTTATTCTTTAAATAAGTTAATATAGTTTTTTTTTTTAATTGTAAAACCATTTTTTAATTATATTATTTATTCATTCGTGTTATTATAGGAATAATATTAATACCGGTATTAATACCGGAATCCCAAGATTTTCAATACCAAAATACCGGTATTTGATTTTATGTCCGGTATTCCCAACTCTAGCTCCATTAACCACAGCTCATTCTCACTTGACTTTTCATTTAGTAATATTGCATCCTTTTACTGTATCTGTCTCTTCATGCTCTAAAAACATTTTCTTAATGAAAAAAAGATTCTTCTTGTTTCTTTCCTTGTGCATCAATCCTTTGTAACTCTCTATTATTTTCATGCTTTATTAACTCATTCAACCTACAACTTTTTGAATTGAGACGAAGCTATTTTACCATAAAAATAAAATAAAGTATGATAGTTAGCTATACCGCAATGATAAACAAACATATACTCAGTTATCAAGTTTATTTACTTAACATTTAATTAAAAATTAAAGAATGTAACCTTGTTACCACTTGCAAATGATTCAGACAGAACATAACTTTAAAATATTATATGTGCTATATATATTGCAACTTTTTATTCAGACAAATGGTTTAAAGAAATTAAAACTCGATCTTCCTCATATAATGTCAGCTATTGGAATAAAAACTGAAGACGGTTAGTTGATTTTTTTATATACATTCATATATTTGTTTTTTTTTATATACATTTGTATAAAGTAATTTGTAGTAAAGTATACCTTGTTTATAAATTTTTTAGTAACTTTAAGTCTTTTACATCTCTTTTTTTTACCATAACAAAATAAACCCATAGTTACTTTATAACTTATATTTTTTATAACAATATGATTTTAAACAAATAGATTTTTTTGAATAATAGTCTGCTGATGTATTAAGTAAATTCTTGCATTTAAAATCACTTAAATCTCTTATGGAATTTTGGAATTTTAAAATTAAATGGAATTTTTTTACTCAGCAAATTATGCAATAGACTATGTAGTGGTATAACCTATAATAATGAATAGCCTCCTTGACTGTATATATATATATATATATATATATATATATATATATATATATATATATATATATATATATATATATATATATATATATATATATATATATTTATATATATATAGGGCTCAAAATAAGCGCCGGACATCGGGCATTGTCTGGCACTTGTCCAGTAAAAAACAAAACCTATTGGTCATTTTTTCTGACGCATTTTATGTGTATTTATTTTCTAATCATTTTATTTTAATCATTGCTTTAAAATTATTAATAAATTCAGTATTGTATATAAACTATAAATTCATTTTTTTAAAAGATGCCAAAGCATTTTATTTTTTTGAATTAAGTAGCCCCTGTTTTTATCATCTATATTAAAATGTTGCAATTAGTTATTAATTTAAATTTATAGTTTAGTATTTATTTTATTTTTTGTCCTATGGTTTTTATAAATTTCAAACAAATACTTTAGCTTTAAACCTCTTTTAAATTTATTTTATTAAAATTTTAACATAATAGTTATTTTAATGCTATAGAAACCAGTACTTTTTATTACAATATTAAATTATTGAGTTGTTATGTAATGTTTGTTTTTGCGCTAAAAATTTTCTCTGTTAAAAGTGTTTATAAGATTAATCCCAGAAAAAGTTTGAAAAGATTTATAAAAAAATACATGTTTATATAAATGTAATTACATTCAATATTCTTTGATAATTTAAATAAGATGGTTGGATTGTAAACATTATAATAAATTTGTTACTTTATTTAATAAAGTAAAAATAATAATTTATTTATTTAATATATTTACATAGTAATTTATTTATTTAATAGTTTTGTATTTTTATTATACATTTTTTATATATATTTAATTATGTATTTAATAGTTACATAATTTATGTATTTAATATATTTACTTAATAGTTTATGTATTTAATAATTTACAAAGCATTACTCATAGTATTATAATTTTTAAAAATTGAAATATAAATATATTTTCCTTTTCTAAATTTTAGTTTTTTGAGCTTAGGTTTTTTCTTTTTCTTTAAGGTTTTCTTTTTGTTAGATAATTTATCTTGCAAATTTTCATTTTATTTTCAGCGCATTTTCAAATGCCTAGAGTTGTAAAAACAAATTGCGTGGTCAAGTTGTAAAATCAAAATATTTTTTGCGTTGGGTTCGATTGCACTTCTTTAATTTTTATTGGGCATGTCTGGCAAACTTGAGTCTTTATCGGGCATATTATCCTGTACAAAAAAGTTTGTTGTTTTGAGCCCTGTAAATATATATATATATATATATATATATATATATATATATATATATATATATATATATATATATATATATATATATATATATATATATATATATATATATATATATATATATATATATATATATATATATATATAGATATATAGATATAGATATAGATATAGATATAGATATAGATATATATAATTACCTACCACACAGGATACTTAGAAGAGGAGGAATAGATATATTTGTGTAATAAGAAATATAATTATCTACAGTGAGTGGCCAAATTTTTGGTTACAGTTTGATTCTTCACAAAAAGTGCAATTAAATATGATTTTTAAATGAATAAATTTGCTTCTACTCTTACATTCTTTGAGATTTTAATATCAATAATATTTTTCCATACTTTTTTATGAAGTTGTAATATTTATAAATAATTGTGGCAATTTTTAAAATTGATAAGCTAGAATATGCAAAAACAAGCAAAATGCACCTTTTTACATATTTGTGGCAAAATTTTTATTTGCATGATAACACCTGCATAATAAGTAACATTTTTGTCAAAAGTTTAGTATTTTTGTGATTCTGACTCATATTTTTACATTAATTAGTAGTTTTAACTAAAAACGTTTGAATTTTCATGCCTAAAAATGGGTAAAGCTAAAGATATATCAAATGAAATAACTCCAGAAATATCTGCTTTGTTAAACATTCAAATCACTCCCAAAGAAAAATTGCAAATATAGTTAGAGTTTCTGTGATGACTGCAAGCAGAATTAAAGCTAAACTTGATAAAAAAGTACCTGTACAAAGAAGAAGTGGAAAATGTGGTAGACTACACATCACTACCCCAAAAGATTAAATGGCAATTCGTAACATTTGTGTTAAAAACCGAAGAAAAAGTACAAAAGCAATTACTAAAATCATACAAGAAGCCGGTATCAAGATTTCTAACATAACTAGAAGGCGTTGAATAGCAGAACTGGGGTTTAAATGCTGCAGACCTGCAAGGAAACTTAAACTTACACCAGTGATGAAATTAAAACATTTCACTTAGGCAAAACAACACCTACATATTTCTGCTGGATGTTATATGTAGGTGTTGGCAATATTCCTGCTGGGAATAGTGGAAAAATGTAAATAAACACTTATTCTATTGTTTATTGCCATAGCATCACTGATTATAATATTGTATGAGTATTTATATTATTATTTCTATTTGTTTTCAGGCGTGTTTCTCAGATGTGTCCCAATTTGAAATATTAATCGATAAGTCTTCCTTTATTAGATGAAGGAAAGAAGAAAAATATGACCCAGACTGTGTTATGGAGATAGTAAAACACCATCTAAAAGTGATAGTGTGGTCAGTTATAAGTGGTAAGGGCAGTGGCCTTCTTTTTATAGTTGAAGGGATGATGAACAAGAATAAATATAAAAAAGTATTAGCTACCAAATTAATTCCTCAGTTACAAAATTGGTTTCCTGATCCATCTAAGTTCATCTATATGCATGATTCTGCCCCATGCCATAAAGCTAAATCAGTGATAAGATATTGAAAGTCGAAAAATGTTACTGTTTTACCATGGCCTGGCAATTCTCCAGACTTAAACCCAATTGAGTATGCCTGGAAACTTTTAAAGCAGATTATTTGGCATAAAACTATAATCAACAAAAAAAATCTTATAGAGGCACTAAATAATGCCTGGCATAATGATCAAGAATAAAAGCAAATGTAAAGAATTGCATCTAAAGTAAGCCAAGAAGGATACAATGTAATTGATGCAAAAGGCGGCCCAACCAAATACTAAAAAACATTTTGTATTAAGATTTTTCTTAAATAAATGCTTAAAAATAGTAATAGTGTTTAAATGTGTTTTATTTTTTAAAGAAAAATATTTATTTAAGCTAGTAGCACTGGTATTTATATAAAAATTTATATAAATGAAAAAGAGAATAATATTTGACTACTTTTTCATTTTCCGCTGTGGAATTGCTCATATATATATATATATATATATATATATATATATATATATATATATATATATATATATATATATATATATATATATATATATATATATATATATATATATATATATATATATATATATATATATTTCTCAGTGGAATAGTTTTTCGTCAGTTGTAATGATTTTTGTAATGATTTACTAGTTTTTCTTGATAAATCCATAAAGTTTTTTTGATCTTGTAAACCTTCTCTTGAACGTACAAGGTGATAATGCATGTACACATTCTTTTGAAACCATTTTTTAAATTAAATATTTTATCACTATAACATTTAATTGACTTTCTTGATATCTTAAACTTTCTAGATAATTCAGAAATAGTTGTTGGATTGTCTTTTTTAATAAGTTTTTTATCTAAAAAATTTGCTGTAAATTAAATAGTGGTTATTGAAACTTTGATTGATTCCTTTTCTAATAATGATCAGGTAGCTTAAGTCCTTTTATCTTCAACATAACAATTCAACAAACTTAATATTTTTACCATTAATTGTTTCACTATTTGTTTGTCTTTTTTTTACTTAGGAAATTGATTTAACAGCTAAGTCACTTCAGTTGTATAAAGAGGAATTATTAACAAATTTATGATATCGTTATGAATTTATGAAAAGTTTTTATAATAAATTTATCAAAAAATATTGTAAAGTTGTCTTATTGAATGTTTGATAACATTCGATGGTTATTGAATGATAACATTCGATGAGACAGCTCAAAACTCTGATTAATGTTGAAAGGTTGAATAGTTATAGAGCAAGAAAAAATGTGGAATAAGAATAAATATTGTGACAAAAAAAAAAGAGAAGTAATTAAAGAAGGTAATTATTAACATTAGGAAATCAAGTTATGTTATGAAACCATAATTAAAAAATGCTTGAGATGAAAAAAAATTAGTTCAACACCTCAGTTTACATTCTCAGTTTACATTCTATGTCTAACAATTCCATTAACTGCAAAGTTAATGGAATTGTTAGGGTTGTTTCATGGTGGTTCAGATTGTAATAGAAATTGATAATATGGCAACCACTAGATCTTTTGTTGAGGTGTGGCTTGTTGGTAAACCTACACTCTGTCAACTGCCAGACTTCCTTCAAGAGAGGATGTTCTTTGAAGGTTGCTCTTCCATCATATAGAAGAGAAACAAGAAGTGAAAAAAAGTATTCGGGCAACAATTGAAGCAGTTCTTGCTATATAGGAGATAGGAAGAATTCCAACTCAAAGAATTGATAATGCGGAAAGAAAGTTAAAAAAACTTTATGGCGAATATCTGCTGCTGAAAAAACACAGAGGATCAAAATTGGACAGCTGTCAAATGAATGAAGGAATTTTCCAGGCTAACTTTGAAGTACTTTTTGATATATCAACCAAGAATGCATCCGAAGTTATGAACAATGAATCATTTTTATGTCAGCAGCAAGAAGATCCATTAAGTTGTAGTATGGCAGGAATTGATTGGAATTTAAGAGCTAGGGAGGCATGAAAATGAGTCCAAGAAATTAAAATGGAATTGAGGCGTCAAAGCAGTAAAGCGGAACTGATGGAAAAATAGAACTCATTTCTTCTTCATCAGCAGTTGACATTGTGGGTGCAAGTAGCTCTAGTTCCTCGGATGATGATGAATATCAGGCTCCTTCTGCTTTCACAAGTGGTTTAACAAAAAAGCACAAGTGGTTCAACGAAAAAGAAGATGAAAGTTCTTACAAATAATGTTCTATCATCTCTTTATTGTGTTAATATTTCTGATCACCGTGCACTCTTCGTGATTGGAACAGTGGCTCAGGCTCTTGGTCACTCGGTAAAAGATTTATTATTGTCGTGCAGCATAATCCGCAGAAAAAGGCAATCTGTTCATGAAGTGGTGACTACAGCTGACAAAGCTGATTTCTCTCCTGATGATCCACTTCTTCTGCATTGGGATAAAGCTCTTACCTGATATCACTGGTGGTCAAAAAAAGTGGATAGAATTGTCATCCTTGTGACTGGTGGAGGGGTGGAAAAATTGCTGGGTGTTAAAAGATTGATTAAGGTACAGGTGAGCAACAGGCTAATGAAGGCTCTTTAAGATTGGATATTGAAAAAACTTGTTTGGGCACTGGTTTTTGACACTACTTCATCCAACACTGACTTGAACATTGGTACCTGCACAATAATGGAATGGAATCTTGACCGTAATCTCATATGGATAGCATGCAGGCACCATGTGTTTGAAGTCATTCTTTCCACCATTTTCACGACTGCATTTGGAACCAGTGGATAACCTGAAGTTGGAATTTTTAACCATTTCCAGAAACAATTGCCAGCAATCAATAAGGAGGTGTTCACTATAGGGAATGAAGAATTATTTAACTGCGATTTTTTTTCTCAAACATTGTGAAGAAATGGTAGTATATTATGGTGAAGCAATTACAATTCAACAACCCAGAGATGATTACTTAGAACTCTTGAACTTGTGCCTTATTTTTCTTGGAGGATCAACTACAACATCAGAGTTAAATGTAAAGTTTTGGGCTCCAGGTGCAAAACACAATGCACCTTGGATGGTGAAAGCTATAAATTGCATAAAGATATTTCTTTCAGGATCAATTTGTTATTACTGCAAAGGAAAATAAAGGAATAACAGACATAAGTCTTTTTGTGGCATTTATATACGAACAGTTTTGGAATGAAGCTCTGTTAGCTGAACAAGCACCATTCAATGATGCCAAGCTTCTTCAACGTATTCAAGAATATCCAAATCATACAATTGCAATTAATGCAGCAAAAGCTTTTCATTGCCACCTCTGGTATTTTTCTGAACATCTAATAGGATTGGCTTTCTTCGATTCCTGTGTCGACAACAACACCAAGAGAGACATGGCAAACAACCTGAAACAACAGCCAAGGCAGAAATCTCTCAAAAGACTTGATGCTGCCACATTCGATTGTCACAGTCCATTGTCTTCCTTTGTCACACAACGCACCGCAGAACCTTTCAATCTAATTTTGAAGAATGACAAAGAAAAAGCTGAATCATTTTTAATGAAAGAATCTTCAGAGTGGGAAATGGATTCAACATATCTTGAAATGAAGTGCAAGGTTCGTCAAATAAAGGTTGTCAATGGTTGCGCAGAACGAGGCATAGCGCTTATAAGTGCTATGCCTCATTCTGCGTTGGTTTTCATCTTTCGTAACGCTTGAGTTAAAGGATGTTATAAATAACATCCTTTAACTCAAGCGTTACGAAAGATGAAAACCAAAAGCAGTTTCTTCTTCGATTAGTTGATCTTCACTGGAAGGAATTTCAAGTTGCATCAAAATCTACCCTAAAAAAATGTTTGAGTTTTACGAGTGCTGGACAATTTTCTTCATGCCAAGGCCTGGTAATATAATATAAAAAATGTAAAAATAAAAAATGTGACAAAACATGGCAATATCATCCGATTTCATTCAAATTTTGGCCAATAATTACTAAGGGCAAGCTTGAGTGCAACAAAAGTTTTGAACCTAAAAATTTTGCATCACCTTAATATATATATATATATATATATATATATATATATATATATATATATATATATATATATATATATATATATGTTTTTTTATAGATGTTTATAATATGCTTGTTTATATAAGGCTGTATTAAATAAACTAATATATTTTAGACTATATTCGAATTTTAAAAAAATCTGTTTCTTCAAAGTATGGAAATTCATTATTTAAAAGAATTCCTTTAAAAGATGGCTCAGTTTATAATGTAAGTCACTTTTACTTTTCAATTTTTGTAAATACAAGTCTATGTAGTCTTTGTTGATTGTTTATAATTGTGTCATTTATGCAATTGCTTCTGATAATGAAATTCTTTTTTGTTTATCTTACTGTTTTTAATGATTATATTTATGATGATAATTGCTTTTATTAATAAATTGTCTTCTTGGCTATAATAATGAACTTATCTGTTTAGCTAACTGCTTCAACTGATGAACTGGTTGAAATTGAGAACACTTTAAAAAAAATCTTAGAACTTTACAAAAGTCGTTTTGAATGGCTTGTCAGTGGAAGGTAAAAATTAGTCCTAAACATGTTTTTATTCAAAATTAGCTGGTATTATTACATTATGTAATGTAATAATGCCAGATTATTACATTACATAATGTAATAAGCTGAAGCAAAGAGAAAAACAAGAAAAATTGACAGGTGATGTTAAAAGCTGTAAGTTTTATCAAAAAGGAAAACAGAAAGACAGGAAAGAATTCGAAAGCAATGTTTTTCAAAGCAAAGCTTTAAAAAAATTGCTTTGGAAGCAATGTTTTTCTTTTGGAAGCAATTGCATTGCAATGAAAAAAGCTACATAAATAAATGGACGTAACTTAGTTGAATAACATCTCTGTCTTATAGTAAATCAAAATAGATGCAGTCAATATTATTATGAGAATGGTTAGTAGTAGACAACTGTGTTTTATTTGGATTAAAATTCACCTGCCACTGCAAGCTCCGAATTTTTGCAGAAGAGAGTGATCACATTTAAAATTGGTCTGTTTGATTGGTTGATTGAATAGTGCTGACTTTTTATCAAGGCTGCAGTATGTAGTAGTATCATTAGCAAATTGAGCCATTTTAGAGGTAAGATTATCTAAAAGATCATTAATATAGATCAGAAGCACAGGACCAAGCATTGAATCTTGTGGTACCTTAAAGAATACCAGAAATAAAGGGCAGTATTGTCCATTGACTTTGATACTGCGATTAGATAAGAAAGTTTAACAATTTTGAAATTTTTTCTTTTTTTTGAATTGAATATTTGGTATCTTTAATAGTAATAAGTTTTTGACAAATTGCTTCTCATTAATATTTGTATAGTCTGTACTATACAAGTATTGATGATAATTTTATATATAAAATTTAAATTTTTATGTGAAATTATCATAGTTATGAATTAAAGTTTAACATTTATAATGTATTTTTTTTTATGTATTAAGTCGTAAACTATTTGGTATAATAGAAGGAAGAAGTATATGTATAATTCTTGATATTAATCCAGATGATAAACAAGCACTTGCATACTTTATCAAATGTCTTATTTCTCTACTAAAACAACAGCTAGTGTATGTTGAGAAATTTAATTTTATAAGGTAAATATTATTTATTAACATGGTAGTAATTTTTTGTTCACAAAACAAATTTAAAAAAAATAATATTTTAACTATTCATAAATTTCTTTTTTTTATGTAAAAAAATTTTTTATTTTTTTATTTTATAGATTATTTTATTAATGTCTTGTGAATGATGTTTTAAAAATTATATATTAAAACATTTTTTATTTTTATTATAACCACTAATATTTTGATAGCTGTTGGTTCCTACAGATTGATATCACCTATTTTATTGATAATCTTTTTATTGACAACCTATTCTAAATATAGGATATTACTTATATCAAAAGAGTTGATAAAAAAAATGAAACTTAATTAAAGCTTGCTACTGTTAATTATGCTAAATAAAACCTAATTAATGTCTACTACTTATTATTAATTATGCTAAATGAAACCTAATTAATGCTGCTTTTAATCAGTAGGTAGTGATGAAGTTTCATTTTAGTGTCAATTTTTTTAACATGAATGATATCCTATCTTTAACAATCATTTTTGACATAAGTTATATCCTATCTTCAATAATCATAATCAACATCATTTATCATCCATATTTTAATTATTTTGAAATTAAATAATTGGTACAAAATAAACCAAAAATCATCTTTGTATAAATTTAATAATGAAAAAATCAAAATAAATTGTTTTCAACAAGTCACTTCTAAGCATATCTGATCCCAAGAACTAAGTAAAAATACATAAGAGTCTTAAGAGAAGTTTTTGATTTTGTTTTTGATGCTAAGGCTGCTTCTTATTATTTAAATGACCGAACTAGTATATTTAACGATGTCAAGCAATAGAACAAAGCAAAGTTTGGCTTGGTACCTCAACAAGTGTATGATCAAGCAGTTAATTCAATCCCTTCAGAAACATCACAGCAATGATGTATATATTTTCAGCTTGATTTAGCCTCATCACATTTTAAATCACTATCAGATTAACAAGCACAAGAGATATCACTGGTACCAAAAGAGACCAATCCAGCAAACGTGTTGGAAGCTTGTTCTATTTTTTAGGAAGTTAGTAACTAGGATGAAAAAAAATCAAAACATTAACTTAGGCGACACACACAAAACCAAATGCTAATTAAATGACATATTATTTTTATTTGTTAATGCTTATAGTTTTTATAAGTAATAGTTTATGTAGGGTTTTCTTTTTAATAACTTTTTTAGAAGTAAATTTATATTAAAGACCAATTGTGCCAATTTTTTATTCAAGAGACAGCCTACTATATTGATACCATCTAGTATATTGCCAATCCTTATTCTATGGAAAATCTCTACTCTTTTGCAAGCTTTCTTCAATCTTTACTCTATGGAAAATCTCTACTCTTTTGCAAGCTTCTACTATATTGATAGCCTATTACTATCTACTATTGATTTTTAAGAATATACCATATTTAATGTTTAACTTAATTATTTCAGTGTGCAGTAGATTACATCAACTTTGTGTTTAAGTTATTTCCATGTGTTATTGGTGACATCATTTTTAAGAACCAGTATTCTAATAAGCTTTTTTATTAAATGGAAACTAAGTTCTTTTTTATCTTTTTCTATTTAAAGTATTTATATTTTATAGTTTGTTAATTTGTATGTACAATGTCATATAATAATAAGAAATTATTAATTGATAGTTACTTCCAGATCTCTAACCACTGCACCATGGTTGCTCAATTTAAAACTGAAATTCTTGTAAATTTAAGTTAGCATAAAGTATAATTGAAGTCAAGCCAATGTCAATTATTTCCTAGTTTTACTTTTGATAAATTACAGTAATTATAGTAATTACAACATGTAGTTTTAATAATAGTCTCTGGTATTAAGTTAAATACTAGTCTCTGATATTAAGTTAAAAACTAGTTTCTGGTATTAAGTTAAGTACTAGTCTCAGGTATTAAGCTAAATACTAGTCTCAGGTATTAGTTGAAAACTAGTCTCAGGTATTAAATTAAGTACTAGTCTCAGGTATTAAATTAAATACTAGTCCCAGGTATTAAGTTAAATACTAGTCTCAGGTATTAAGCTAAATACTAGTCTCAGGTATTAAGCTAAATACTAGTTTCTGGCATTGAGTTAAATAATAGTCTGTGGCATTGATATATAAAAAGTTGTTAAAACTTGAAACATATTTTTTATAAGTTATTTGGCTCATAAGTGAGAGAGTTTACTATCAGAACAGATTTCTGGTATGAGTCTAGATAACATGTTTAATATAAAAAATTATTTTTTTATACTTTAATTTAGATACTTATATTAACATTTAGAGCTGCAAGTGAAATTATAACATGGCAACCTCATTGTGTTACTGTTACTCCTGAAAGTGTATCTAATGCTGTTAGTTGGATAATGGACTTAGATTTGGATGTGAAAAACAAAAGTTCTACTGTGTTGGAGTGTTTATTTTATGCTATAAATGATACTTCTGTATGTTTTATTTTATAAAATTTATTTAAAGATATCTATATATATATGCACATATATATACAAACATTAGGGTGTTTCAAAAAACGGACTTTTCGAAATTTCAACAAATGTTACTTCTCATATGGTGCCCCACCCTAAATATTACTATTTAAATTGTTTTTATATCGCATTTGAACCACTCTATCAATTCCCGCAATGACCCTAAAGTTCATTTTTAGGCTCTTTTTGAGGCTTTTTTAGTCAAATTGCAGGGACCCTTCCTAAGGACCAATTTATAACAAATAAATTTTTGGGGGCAATTTTATGCATAAAAATTAAAATGAAATCCAATGAGAAGCTTCATTTGTTTAAATAATAGGTCAATCAAACAACTGCACTTTCCAAAAATGTGGATTTTTTTGTCTTTTTTCACTCTTCAATAAGGTCTAAGGATGGATTTTAATGTTTAAGGCAGCTACAGAATTGTCTTAAAAAATGAGTTAGGGTTATCCTTCTTTAATGTGGTTGTCTTTTTTAAATGTTTGATGTTTTGCAGCATTTATTATCTTTCAATATGCAAGAACATAAAAAAATAGTTTTAGTACAAAGTTTAAAGAGAAGTTTTTCAAAACCAGTTTTCTTTGGTCTTTTTTTTCTTTTGAACTTGTTGGCTACAAGGAAAATTTCCTGTCTTTTCTTCTCTTTGTGGGATTTGTTGATCAGCTCCTCATTAAAAATAAGTTATGTAATATGTTTGTTGAAAGTAAGTATTATTTCCATTTCAGATTTGATAAATTTTTTGAAAATATATCTGAACAAGTTTCATAGTTCTCTCACTGCAATCATTAATTATTTTACTAGCATTACCGTTTAAGTACCATTTTACTAGCATTACTATTTAAATACCATTTTACTAGCATTACTATCTAAGTACAATTTTACTAGTATTACTATTTAAGTACCATTTTACTAGCATTACTATTTAAGTACCATTTTACTAGCATTACTATTTAAGTACCATTTTACTAGCATTACTATTTAAGTACCATTTTACTAGCATTACTATTTAAGTACCATTTTACTAGCATTACTACTTAAGTACCATTTTACTAGCATTACTATTTAAATACCATTTTTTACTATGGTTATTATTTATAAGTTACTATGCTTACTTAAGTTATATGCTTACTTTTTATAAGTTTTTGACAGAATTTTTAAACTTCAGATAATAGTCATTCAGGTTCCAGTATCAATTGGGGTTTTTAAGCACTGCAACCCTGCCTTTTTACAGTTTAAGAGATGAAATATAAACCAATTCTGTTCAGTTATTAGTGAAACCAAGCTAGGAGGTCTGGATCCTGATGAAAATCCTGATTGTTCAGCTTTTCAGGATTTTATAATATATCATAACAGCATAAATTATCATAAATTATCATAACATATCATAACAGCATAAGATCCTGAAGAAAATTTTTTCTCAACTTTGATGGACCATTTTTGTGGCGACTCTTCTTTAAGATGTTATAATAATCCACTGTGCTCTGAATCTTCACCCTATATATTGTAAATAAAGCATTTAAGGGAATTCTCACTTTAAGAAGATATTCACTTTAGATTATTATTTTTTAAATATCTTCACTTCCAACAAGCATGCAAGCAACCACTATTAAAGTTGGAAATTACTGGAAAAGAGAAGATGAAGTTTATAAAGCAAGAAATGAATAAACAAACAACTTAAAGGATCGCAAATTGTATTCCAAAGAACTGATGTTCTAGGAAAAAAGCTAAACAAATAAGAATTTTTGGAACATTTAGAAAGTCACAGCAAAAAACATGCTGTAGCAAAAGTGAGATTTTCCATGCTCATATGCCCTCTCCAAGCAATCATAGAGTGTTGGCTTTAGTAATCATAGTATAAAACCAGTTATTACTGTTGACAAATCAGCAATAAGATTTATTTTATTTATTAATTTTAAATAAATACTTTACATAAAATGTAAAGAATGTAATGAAACAACATAAATGCATTATTCTACCTGAGTAAATATAAATTGTAAATTGACTTAAAGGTTATAATTGTAGTATTGTTTTTTAAATAAAAAAAGAATTTAAAAAGTTTACTTTATATTTTTCATTGTTCCATTGTTTCCATTGTACATTTTCCATTTTCCAGAGGGAATCCAGCTAGATTCCATGGCACAACCAATTTAGACATTACACAGTTCGAAAGAATTAATCTTAAATTGTCACTAAATATATCAGTTTGCTTGGCATTTGAATTAAATGAAGGTAATACTGGAGAACATTTTTGCCCTTTAGAAGGTAATTGCTTTGGAAAGTCTTGCTTGTTTTCTTCACAAGAAATATTTCTGGTCTGTTTCTAGTATGTTTTGGCTTATCTTATTAATTTTTCAACTTTCATTTACTGATAGAGTGGTCTAAATGTTATATAAAAAAAATTGTGTAGTAATATCTAGGATAAAAAATATTGTGTAAGTAATATCCGTATGAGAAGCAATGTTAGTTGAAATTTTTTAAATTCCTATTTTCAAAATGCTGTGTATATATATATATATATATATATATATATATATATGTATATATATATATATATATATATATATATATATGTATATATATATATATATATATATATATATATATATATATATATATATATATATATATATATATATATATATATATATATATATATATATATATATATATATATATATATGTCTGCTCAACTCATAGCTAATGGAATTTCTAATATAAAAATTTTTAGCCACTGAAATCTAAAATAATAATTTTTTTATAAAATGATCATTATTTTTGCAGTTTTTATATAATTTTGCTTCTATTGAGACCCGACATGGTATACTTTTGAAAAACTATTTTTTTGATAATTATAGGGACCTGTCTGATGTTTAAGGGTCTTGAGCTATCCCTAAAAATATTTTTTTTTTTATGAAAATTATATATATTTATATATACATACATATATATATATATATATATATATATATATATATATATATATATATATATATATATATATATATATATATATATATATATATATATATGTGTGTGTGTATAAACTATGAATGCGTGTTTAGATAACATCTCTAACATAACACTAGAATAGCCTGCTGCCAGGGGCTGCAGAACATACATAGATTATCTTGTAGCTTGCTGTCACAAAGGAGTATTGCTACATTGACTGAGGATTTGACAAGGCAGCAATTTTTTTTTCATTATTTTTCAATTTTTTTTCTTTTTCTGAAAATGCTGCATACTATAAAGATAGGAAAAACTAGTAACAGTTTGTTATCTATATATGCTATAGTATATACCTATGGTAAAGATCTTAAATTTACCATTTGTGGTAAAAAACGTCTCTTAACTATTCTATGACAGGTAGCAAGAAAAATTAAGTACAGATTATGTCAAAAAGCATTAATTTAATTGAGGAATCTAATTAGATTTATTGATACAAGTAGTTTGGTTACTGCTGTGTCTTGTAAAATAAAGAAGCCAGCTGAGCAATTAGCTGTTAAAAAACTATTGGTTGCTCAACAGACTAAAATCAAGAGCAGAGAGAACAATGTAATCATTTATGGCGTGGAGAAATCAAAGAAAGAGGCTGTGGCTCAAAAAATTGAAAACGACAAGTTGAAAGTTGCAAATATTCTCAAAGAAATAGACAAAGAAAGCACAAAAATTTAAAAGAAATAAACAAACTTCTGCTAACATTGAAAGAGAAATTGGTTTTTAAAAATATTTATTCAAGTCCTGTTTTAACAGAAGCTGAGAGAGTTGGGCTTTTTACTCAGGAAGAAAAGAAATGTGAAAAAGAAATAATGCTCCGGACCCTAATACACCCTTTCGATATGCCATCCGTGAAAATTAAGTTGTCAGATTCAATAAGCAAAAAAATCAGAATTAGGTCAGCAAAAAAGTATTGAGAAATAAATTAACTGTCTTTATCTTAATCACTTGATAACAAAATAAACGAGTTTAAAGTATTGTGTGATAAAAATAATCCTATGTTGATTGGAGTAACGGAAACTTGGTTTAAAGACATGTCATTTGTAAATATGGTTGGTTTTTGCGTATATAGAAGAGACAGAGATGATTGTAGAAAAGGAGGAGTTCAAGTATAATCTCATATGAAATAAATGACAAATTATTGAATTCTTTATGCGGCAGTGGTGTAGTGGTAAGAGCGCTCGCTTTGTAAGCGAGAGGTTCAGTGTTTGACTCCCACCACGTCCCTGGAAGTACCGCGCTCAACTTAGTTTCTCCGCGCAGCGGCCTTGCTTGTCAAGGTTCGTGTTTCGGAGTTAAAGAGTTGAGAGAGGGTTGTACCACGAAATACAACAAAAAAATAAAAAACACAAAAAAATGAGTAGCCTCCTCGACTGTAGTGGCCCCCTCGGGCCTTGGGGGGGTGAATAATGTAAAAAAAAAAAAAAAAAAAAAAAAAAAAAAAAAATTCTAGCAAGTTTGAGCAGATATGGGTAGTTTTAATTTGCAGTAAATATTTGGCTGGGTGTATATACAGACTAAGTGAAAAATTATGCATCGATGCACTTATCAGAACTTTAAACAAATTAAAATTATTTATTGATGATCACAGTTTTAAGGATATTCTAGAGATGGGTGATTTTAATTTTTCAAATATAACTTGGTCAAATGGTTATGTACAATCGAAATATGGAAACAAAAACTTGATCAAAAATAAATTTTATGAGATTGTCGGCGATGAATATCTTATTCACCACGTATCAATCCCAACTTTTCAGAACAACACAAGTGCAGATAACACTCTTGATTTAATTCTTATTAATGATGAAAATCAAAATTATCAGTTAGAATCAGAACCTGTAACTGGAGTCTACCAATAACATCTACCAATAAAATTCAAATTTTTGTTAAACAAATTTATTTGTAAAAATGAGGTAAAACTTAAGTTTGCATATTGGAAAGCCAATTATTATGAAATAACTAGTTTTTTGTGTACTATAGACTGGTTAAGGTACTTCAAAAATAAATTGGTTCAACAAATGTATGATATCTTAATATTCTATCTGAATGAAGCATGTTAAAGATTTGCACCTAAGATAATGTAAATTGCGTAAAAAAAAAATCCTTTTATTGATTGCAGCCTTAATGGTTTAATGAGATTAAAAAAAAAACTTCAGTATTTGAATTTTTCTGCTTGTTGGAAAAATGCCACTTTGAACAATCAGTATAAGAAAATGTATAAAACTGTGAAATACAGCATTTATATAGCTAGAAATAAATACGAAAATCAATTAGTCATAAAGTCTATGAAAAATCTAAAAGTGTCATTTCATTACATAAACAATCAGCATACTGTGAACAATTTTATTAAAGTCTTAAAGAAAAACAATGTAACAAATGACTTTGAAAGATATAGTAGGTATTTTAAATGACGAACTTCACAACTATTATGTTCGTGAAGAAACAGGAGAATCCAGATTTTAATTTAAGAAATAATGAAACATGTTTAGATATTGAGCATCTTACTATTATGTATGATGAAGTCTGCAAAAGATTAAAAAAACTCAATCCAGATTGATCGTGTGGAGCAGATAATGTACAACTGTATCTTCTTAAAATTTGTGGCAATACCTCTAACTCTTATTTTTTTAGAATCATTAGGGTGTGGTCATGTACCTGTTCAATGGAGATCAGATAATGTTACTCCGATTTTTTTAAATGGAAATAAATTACCCAGAAACTATAGACCTGGCTCACTGACTTTAGTGCCATGCAAAGTATTAGAAAGCATAGTAGGAGAGTTGCTAATGAAACATGGTTAAAAATAATTTTTTTTCACCTTTTCAACATGGATTTGTGAAGGATAAGTCACGCAGCACGAATCTTCTTGAATCTTTAGATTATATCTCATATCAATATAACCTTGGTTATGCAGTAGATATCATTTACTTGGACTTTGTGAAGGCTTTTGATACAGTACAGTACAATAAAATGGTATGAGATCACTAGTAAACTGTTAAAATGGCCTGATCTTAAAGATAGAAGACAACAAGTCGTAAAAGGTGAAGCAGTCTCTGAGTTGTGAGATATTGCAAGCGGTATGCCACAAGAATCTGTAATTAGCCCAATTTTGTTTGTAATTTCATTAATTACCAAGCAGAATATTTTGACTGTAACTTCAAACTTTATGCCAATGATACAAAGTTAATTACAACATAACATAAACATAAGTTAATTAGTCAGGTTAAAGATAAATATGATGCTGAGTTATTGCAATTAAATTTAAATAAAGAAAACAATTTTAAAATTAGGAAAACAAATTGTTATCATATGCTGAAAAAAAAAACACTGCAGAGTTGCATATTAAGCAGAATAATGACCCCTAACACACATCTAGGTTATTAAAACAGTGGTTTTCTGCTTTAAATGTGAAAGTTTAAAGATGACCATCTCAATCACCAGACCCAATAGAATTCTTATAGGAAATACTATATTGTCAAGTTTAAAGCATACAAATTTAAATAAAACCAAATTATTCAAATCATAAAAGGAAAAATGAGATAAAATTCCACCTTCCTGTTGCAGCAATTACAACCACTTTGTTGTGTGGTTGTAATTGCTGCAAAAAGTATATTTACAAATAATAAATTGTTATATTTACAAAATATTAACATAAAAGTATAAGTTAAAAAACATGTTAACTAGTAGTTTTTCTATTAACACAAATTAACAGGAAACTTTTGCACATGTAAGTATAACAATTATAATAATAAATACATTTGCAAACATAAATAATATAGATAAAAAATTTCATATTTATTAAAAATTATTAGTCTTTTTTCAAAATACATTAAAATACAAAACATCAGACAGTAACTTTAGCATGCCACTGTATAATTTTTAATGCAATAAAGTTTTATAAGGTCTTAATAAAAGTAGTATCAAGTAAACTTGGCTTTTTTCTTTAAGTTGGATGCCATCTATATTTTTACGGATGGATCACTTTGCAAAAGTGGAATCAATAATTTACTGGAAAAGGTTGGATATATTTTTAATTAAAATTTAATTTAAATCTTTCTTAAGCCTTGTTTTTATAATGTATTATTTTTATAATAAAAGTTAACAAAAATGATTCTTATTCTGACAATATTGAACTTTTTTTTTTTATAGATTAAAGATATTTATTTGCCACCAATTCATGTTTCAGTACTTAATTGTATAAATCCTGAATACTTAAAGTTTCTTAGAAAGTTTGCAAAAGCAACTCATGGGAGGTTTGCTTTTTGTTTTAAATATAGAAAGATTTTTTAAAAACTTTTCCATTGCAAATATATTTTTTTAATTTATTTATGTTGGTTTTTGTTTTTTTTCTAAAGCTTTTTTTTTTGCTGTTATTATGTTTTTGTGTTTAGATTCAATAACTATAATAATAAAGAGAAAGAAAAATCTATAACAAATAACTCAATGTCTTCTGATGTTATACTTATGTTGAAGGAAATTAACGAAGCGCAGTCTATTTTTTTAGACATTCAAACCATTCTTAAAAATGTAACACAAGATTTATCTAATCATTCAGGTATTAGTTACAATTAAGTAAAGTTTTATTTTTATTGATTAATATTTTGATTTATCATAAGCAATAAGAAATGAATAAAGTTATTACTACATGGTAACAATAATAGTTTGGTTCATTCAAGGGGATTTTTATTTTAAAAACAATAACTAATTATCTCAGATTTTTTTTCAAATTTTTTTGGTAAATGATTTGGTAAAATTAATAGTATAGGTCATTTTATCTTAAAAACAAAAACTATTAAATATTAATATTAATATTAAAGCCTTTTTTTCAAATACCTTTGGTACAAAACATCAAAAGTAATAAAATTATAAATTTCGAATAATGTAAATAATTTTAAATAATATTTTTTAGTTGATAATTTGGAATAAAATATTTTTAATAATGTTAGTTAGTTACTTGAGCTTTATTCAATTCGCATATATATTTTTTGTTACAACATTTTCATTTGACACTTTTTAAATTCAAAAATGTATCATATATATTTAAAAAGTATAGATAAAGTATTTGATTCAAATGTTACATTTTGTTAAACAAATATTAGAATTTCTTTTAGAAAAGTTTAAGACTTAAAAAAATTAAAAAAAACTTTTTTTGTACCTAAGAACAATTTTAATAAGGTTTTGTTAGATTTCATTTATTTTTATTTTTATACCAAAGAAGAATTTTAATAAGGGTTTTATTAGGTGAAAAGATTTTATTAGAACATATTTTCACTTATAAAATCTTACTAAAATTTTTACTAAACCAAATATTTTCTTTGCAAAATTTTTTACTTTGAACTTGACTGCTTAAAATTACAAAGTTTTAAAATCAATTGAAGTTTAGATTTTATATGTCTCTATTTTGGAAGTTCTTAACTTTTTTGACTCTCAAACAAACAAACAAACTTGTGTAAAAAAATTTTGTTAAATGAGAAAAAGAAATGATGGGAAAATGAAGAAATCTGTTTTTATATAAACAGAATACTAAAGCATTCAAAAAAATATTAAATTAAACAAGTACTAAATTCAACAAATACTAAATTAAATATGTAATCAAAATAAAAATAATAAAAAAAAACAACAAGTAGTTAAAAATTTTAAATTAAGCTCATATTAAAAAACAGCAATAACATATATATCATCATGCAGAAGAAATTTTATGACAAAATATAAAATGGTTTATGTATTTATTGTCATTTAAATTTTTGACTTTTAAAAAAGAATATTAGATAGCTTTGGGTTTTTATAATAGTTTGTATCTAAGATCTAAATTTCATGAAAATTTTAACTAAAGCAATAAAAAGACTTACTGTACATTTCCTAGTATATATAAATGAGAAACACAAAAATGTCTCCAAAAATATATTTTGCTCAACTTTTTATAATATAATTGTCTATAGATTATATTTCTAAAATTTTTTAGTTTCTCTTAAAAACTCATATTTATGTTTTTATGTTTATGTGTTTTTCACTAATTTATTTTTCATCACTCACTGATGTATGTCTTATACTTTTTTCTATAATTTGTTAACTGCCAAAATATATACTAACTGCCAAAAAATACACACAAAAAATGTTTAACATGTTATAAAACTTATTTTCAAGTATCTCAACACACTCAGCCATCTAATGAAGAAAGACATTTATCCTCTAAAGATTGGTTAAATTCTATAGCTGGACTAAGTAAAAATCATCTTTTGTTAAATCATTTTTTGAAGGAACATGTAGTTCATGACTGTGAAGACTTTGGAGATGTGAGTGTTGCTATTTTTATTTGTTTTTTTTATTTCTAAATATATCCATAAAGTATTTATTTAAAGATATGTGATTTGGGTGTTGTGCATTGAATATCTAATTTTCATGAAGTTATAATGATTCATCATTAAATATTCAAATTTGGCACACACTCTCACACTCAAATATATATATATATATATATATATATATATATATATATATATATATATATATATATATATATATATATATATATATATATATATATGTATATATATATATATATATATATACATATATATATATATATATATATATATATATATATATATATATATATATATATATATATATATATATATATATCTATATATATATATATATATATATATATATATATATATCTATATCTATATATATATCTATATATATATATATATATATATATATATATATATATATATATATATATATATATATATATATATATATATATATATATATATATATGTATATATATATATATATATATATATATACATACATATATATATATATATATATATATCTATATCTATATCTATATCTATATATATATATATATATATATATATATATATCTATATATATATATATATATATATATATATATATATATATATATATATATATATATATATATCTATATCTATATCTATATATATATATATATATATATATATATATATATATATATATATATATATATATATATATATATATATATATGTATATATATATATATATATATATATATATATATATACATATATATATATATATATATATATATCTATATCTATATCTATATCTATATATATATATATATATATATATATATATATATATATATATATATATATATATATATATATATATATATATATATATATATATATATAGATATATATATAGATATAGATATAGATATATATATATATATATATATATATAAATTACCTCTTGGGATTCAATTTACTTAGGCTGTGTAAATTTTACCGAATAGAATAACTTTTTGCAATAAATTAAAGTAATAAAATTTTTTTTTGAATACTTTATGTAATAAAATAACTTTTTAAGGGGTTAGTTGTGAGCCAAGCTTGCTTTTCAATTTTTTTTAAAACATGCAGTCAATTTTGATTGCAAAATTGACTGCATGTTTTAAAAAAAATTGAAAAGCAAACATAAAACAACAAAAAAACTGCTGAAAGTTTTTAAAGTAATGCAAACCTTTTCTTGTTAAAGTTTTCATACTGTAAAAAATTCTAGTTTTATTTTTACTTTAGACACTTTATCCACAGTCCAGTGTATTTGCAGTAGTTAAACATTTCATAAGTTCAGTGTATCTGCAGGAGTTAAACATTTATTTCATAAGTTCAGTATATCTACAGGAGTTAAATATTCACCTCATTTAATGCTGAGTAGATGCTGAGTAATAGATTAGGGGTAGAAAAAGCAGCTAGGTTTATGTTTTAAAGCAATTTATCAACAGATAGTTAAAATATATACATTTGCATTGGGATGGCTCAAGAGCCACCCCAATGCAAATGTATTTAAATGAAATGAACGTTTTTTGAAAATGTATGCTCTCAACTAGTATATTTGTTTAGTATCCGTTTAAAAAACCGGATAGCAGTTCCTATCAATTTGCGTTTAACCGACAATTCTGTTAACCAAAAAATCTTATAAAGCATAAACTGTTTTGCTTTTGTTAAATATTTGCCCATCAAGAATGATGGTTTTGCAACCAATGTAGTTAGTACTTTTTGTCATTAGTGACGCTTTCTGAGTACAGGATCTTCCAAATTTCAATGATTGTAGTGTTTTGTTTAACACGTTGACCGCATCGTGTATCCATATGTATACACGCGTAAACTCTCGTTTCTTCAAGTCGTGTATCCATATGGATACACGATTTTGATAGTAAATTTATTTTTGTTAATTTTAAGTATTCTAATTTTTACTTGTTTCCAATTGTTTCTTTATATTTATCAATTCTTAAAATTTAATGGCGTTTAAATAGATAGCGTTTTAAGAAAAAAAACTTCGTTCAAATTATAAAAAACACTGTGGTAAAAGATAACTTTATTTGAAAAAAATAAAACAGAAAATAACATTAGAATTAAAAAAAACCGTTATAACAAAAAAATAAAATCAACATAATCAATAAAATCAACATTTAGTATGACATTTTTGAAAACAAGCTAAACAAAAAGGTTTTAAACAATTATCACATCTTGTCTTAATTTGACTAGCACGATTCCTGGCAATTGTGGCACCAAATTCTTTTGATAATTTGTTGTAGCATTCAGTACAACGTCGTTTTCGAATAGTTCCTTCTCCTGGTTCTTTTTCAAGTTGATGTTTTCGTCCAGAAGATGTTGGCTTTTCCAGTTGCAAAATTGATGAGACAATATCTCTTTTGAATTGTACAATTTTGATATTTTTTCCGCTATGTAATTTATAAAGATGCAGAGCATTAACAATGGAAACTTGAGTAATTATATGAAAAAAGATTCTGAGGTACCGTTTCATTGTTTTACGTACGTATGGACAATAAGAGCCCAATTGGTCAGATAGATTGTTAAACGATTTCCCTTTATTGTAATCTACGATAACAGCAGGTTTTCCTCTCTCCGTAATGCTACCATCGTGAATAGATGAAAGCATTATAACTTCTCTTTTATCTTTCCATTTTAAAATCATAATACCATCACCATTTTGTTCTGCAACATAATCACCTTTCTTCAATTTCAAAGAAGTTACGTGTTTTGGAAATCCAATTCTATTTTTTCTGGCCGTCCCAACTAAGTTTGTCTTGTTTTCCAATAAAGATTTCGCCAAATTCATATTTGTATACCAGTTATCTGTATACAGAATTCTGCCATGTCCAAGAAGGTTTTCCATTAGTTTTAAAACTACACGTTCTGCCACAGAACCATATCTTGGCTGGTCCTCTTTACCGGCATAAATTGATAAATTATAAGTGTATCCGTTGTTGCTACACAATTTAAAGATTTTGATGCCATATTTATGCCTTTTACTAGGAATATACATACGAAATCGAAGTCTGCCGCGAAAGGGTATCATGCTTTCGTCAATGCATATATCTCTGCCTGGAACCAGTAAGTGTTGACATCTGGCAATGAACAAGTTGACAAATTTTTCTATTTTATATAATTTTGATCCATTATTGTTGTCATTGTCAGCGAAGTGGAGGGATCTCATCAAAGAATAAAATCTTTTCCTTGTCATTACACCTCCACATATTGCTTTACCGCCAATAGCAGGGTCAGAGGACCAATAATCATCGAGTTTAGGCAGAACAACATATCCCATTTGCAAAATGATAGCCATAAATTTTCGCATTTCCATATTATTTGTCGGCAAATAGTTTGAATCCTTTGTTGGTCCATAACGATTAGTTTCTTCCACAATAAAATCGATAAGTTCGTTGTTCATAAATAAGTTATAGTAATCGACAGGTTCTTTGCAATCCATTACCATATCCATATTCATGCCCGCAGTTCCGTCATCAAAATCCCATCTTAAAGGTTTCTGCACATTTTTCGACCATTCTTCTGAACCATCATCACTACCACCATCAGTTGATTCACTATCAGCACTATCGGATTCATCAGATTCGTCCTGTTGAATTGTTTCCATTAAATCAGAATCATGTTCGTCATCACTTTGTAACAGCAACCTTTCAAAGCTATCGTTTAATTCAATATTATCATCAGCCATTCTAATAAATAAGAAAAATTAATAGCTAGAAAATAATAAAAATTTACGATTGTATCAAAAAATTAGTAATATCAATCAAGTATTTAAGGAAAAAAGTTGAAAACTGTTAAGTTTCGACAGTCAAGTTTTCTTTCAGTTGATCACAATTATTTATTCAACAATATTTAAAGTCCATACAATTGCTGAACTGGTGTTTAGCAGAAAACGCTAGGTTTATATACCCGTTTATCGGCGTGCTGGAAGGTTCTGGAACATTTTGGAAAAATATATTTTTAAATATTTAAAAGTTAAATAGTTTAGGTTTTGAGAAAATTATTGTTCGAATGTTCAAACAAAAACTAAAAATTATTAAAAAAAAAAAACTCCTCTTTGACTTATTTGTGTATACATATGTATACACGAAATATTCAAAAAAAAAAAGATTATTTGGCAATGTGATTTTTTCAAAAAAAGGCAAGGCGGTCAACGTGTTAAACTAATTTTTAAAAAATCAATCAAAAAATCAATACTTTGATTTGTCGGACATATCCTATAAAAGAATTTAAAAAATTCACTGAAACAATAAACTATTTAGCTTATTGTTTTGTTGTTATTATTGTTGTTGTTGTTAATCTTTAAAGAAACAATAAATTCACTTTTTCAGTTCATTTGTAATGTTTGCTTTAAAGAGAAGATTAATAAAACAAACAAAAAATTAACAACAACAAAAAAAAACACAAAAAGAGTAAAACGAAAAAACTAACTAAATTGAGGAAACTAAAACTCTAAGAGAAAACAATTTTAAATTACAATTATTAATTTAGAATTATTAATTTATTTATTAGGAATTACATTTGAAATAAACACAAAACTTTTTTATATTATATTATATTTTATGTTTTCGTATGTGAAGCGTTCATAAATAAAGTCACTAATTCTTTATTTACAATAAACACATTTTATTTGAGTTATCAAAGAATATTATATATAATTTTATTTTATTTATATAAGTATTCATTTTATATAATAAATTAAACTATTTCTATGATTAGTTTTATTAACATGGCTTAATTAATTGGATTTTATGATTGTAAGCAACAACAACGATGTCTTGAAAGCGGAAAACATTGCTGCAAAAACTTAAGTTATGTAATTTAACTCAAATAAAATTATGTCATTGATTTGCGTTTTATATAAGCATTTTAAAATCAATTGATTGTGTTTAATTCCTCAAAATCAACTTAAAAAAGTG